CCACACACACACACACACACACACACACACACACACACACACACACACACACACACACACACACACACACGTGCACTTAATTTACTAACACACATGAGTACAAGTGTCTAATACAGACAATCTATTGTGGGGTGTGCACACCAAAAGCGAATTTTATTATTTGTGCGAGTAGATTACATATAAAGTCAATAGCTATGTTTCCATCACCCTGTTTTTATGTGCATTTTGAAGTATCGGATAAGAAACGGGTGATGGAAACGGCAAATTTCGAATAAAAATCCCTTAATTCGCAAAAAAGTTTTTACGCTCGCTTGAGGTGGTTTTTGACTTGTGCGCGAAAGGGTTAATGCGAATAAAAGGAGATGGAAACGCATTTGCCGAGTAAATTCCTCCATGCTCAACAAAAAAGTAATGTGACTGCGCTATGGGACGGTGGACCAATCTCGTTCCTCAGCATCGGAAATGTTATGGTTATTTTGATTTTGAAATGTTCGAGCAAAGTCTGTCATCAACGTATTTCTGTATAGTTGCCTTGTCGTTACACAACCGCGTTCCCAAACAGCAGCATCCACCTCCGAAAGCAATGACCGCATTTATTTTGTTTCGTCTGCTCGCTCTGAGGCGCAAGTAATTTATTATATAGGCCTATGAAAAATATTATATTCAGGGGTTTCTCCTACTTTTCATAGTGATATATAGTCTAGCGCCAGTTCTACCAGGAAGTGACGATTTTGTTCTCTTTGACTCGTTGGATGGGAACGGTGCTTATTCGCAAATGTTTTATGTGATATTTCAATTTTGCGCATAAGTTAAATTCGCAACTTTGGATGGAAACCCGGCTAATGCAAAGTTCTGAACAGACGCGAATTCGGGCTGGGCGACACAAATGATGCGAATTGGGTGCGAACACCAAGCCAATCAGCGAAGAGCTCATTGACATGGACAGTTTGACATGTTGTTGATGTTGTTGTTGATGTGCATGAAGACACTTCTCATCGCGCAATGTATTTTATTCACACAAGTGATGTGAAAAACATCCTGCGAGTAATCTAGAGCGATTAGCACGATGCTAATAATTGCATCGCTTTTGTTGTGCACATACCATAAGAACTTAGCTTTTTTATTTTTTGCCACTATTAATAAAAGTAGAAATCAGGAAATCATATTACCCAAACGTTTCAGCTTCCATTTACAATATTTGAGATGCTTTATATGTGTGCACTGATCAATGTTTATATGCTAATAAAAGCCAAATTAAATCTTTCGTGAACGTGAACTAAAGTCTTATGGGTCTGGAATGAGATGAGGGTGAGTAAATGACGACACCATCATTGGGTGAACTATCCCTCCTTTAAGTTAACCATTGAGGGTTGCGCTGTAAACCCTTCAAACCAAGTACGCATCCTTTGGCCATGTGGTAAAGAGTTCAGCAGCAGTCACACTGAGGCACAGGCTTCTGTCCTGACTGACTGTCTTTGATTGTGGTCGGTTTAATCAACCATCATGACTTTGTCACAGCAATATCAAAGCATGAATCTATTTAGACAAAAACCCACAGGCTTCTGCTAGGTCCTTTAGCCAGGGACAGAGCTGGCCCTCGAGTTTAACATGCAAGGCATGCCTGGAATCCACCTTTGGGGCAAAAGGCATTTGCACAGTAGGAATTCTCATGAAAGCCCGCCAAAAAACAGCTAATCCCCGAGTGCACGGCGCTCAGCAGTGCCTCCCAGCACACCGACAGAACCAGAGACATTCCCCTGGGATCCAAAACCTGCCTCAGGGAGAGACCCCACACAAGAAAAACCAAACCGAGCCCTGCTATATATACGCGATATATCCTGTAGGGCTCTATGATTTCTGCAACGGGAAAAACAGATGGAATTGCGGAATGCAGTAATAAAAATGAACTTTTCTGCAAAACACAGAATGTTATGGAATTTGGCAAATGTTTAATGAATAAACCAAAAGTAGGGCTGTACAATTAACCAAATTGCATTACGGTCTAGTGTCTGTGAATATTAAAGCGCCAAAAGACTGCTTTTAAAATATGAATTCTGTGTGTCTCTGTGTGAAGAAGTGTCACAGTTTCATCAACTACACATTGAAGAAATCATGACAAAAAAAAAAAACTAATAAAATAGCGCCATATTCCTGTAATTTTTTTACACTTCACAATTAGGTTCCAATTGTTACCTATATTTAATGCATTAACTAACATTAACTAGCAATGAGCAATACATTTATTACAGTTTTTATTAATGTGTGTTAACATTAGTTAATAAAAATACAACTGTTCATTGTTAGTCCATGTTAGCTCAAGTATATTAAATAATATTAATAGATCCAAATTTAAATTTTAATAAAATATTAGTAAATATAGGAATCAATGTTCAACTAAGATTAATAAATGCTTTAGAACTAATTTTTAATTGATAGTTCATGTTAACTAATGTAGTTAACTAATGTTAACAAATGGTATTTTATTGTAAATTGTATTTTATTGTGAATTCAAAAAAGTTTGAATTCAAAAGTCATCATCAAAAAAAGTCATGAACCTTTAAAAATAAACCTAAGAAAAAAAAAGGAAAACGTAGAATTTGGAGAAAAACAACAGGGCCCTAAAAATGTCATTTTTGTTAAACATTTAATAAACCGTCGTTAAATTGTGTAAGTTCTCAATTAATTAGAGATGCTTTTACAGAAAACAGAATCCAGAAAAAATTGGGGGGAAAAAGATTTCATGGAGCACTGTGCATGTCAGTGAAAAGGTCACTTATAGCTCCAGACAGCCAGAAATTCATCATGCATGAACTCTGGGATTGGGCTCATATTGAGTTCTGGACAGATATTTGCTGCAGTGTAGCGATTCAGAGGTTAGACGTGGGCTGTGTGACGGGCACAGTGGTACGAGGAGCTGTGGCCTTGCTGTGTGTGTTTGCTAGGCAGATCCGTGTGTTCATGTGTACTGTGTGAATGTGTGTGGGTTGATGAGGAGACGGCTCCACGCCCTGTGGAAGAACGTGGCTGCTTCAACCGCCTGTGCTGTGTCATGTGAGAGAGTCTCAGGAGGAAGTGGAAACAGATTTTCAGAGCACTGCTGAGTACATCGCAACACACAACTAACACACATGGCATCCCTTACAACACGCGAGTCAGGAAAACAAGAAACACAGACAAAGGAAAAAATGAGGAAGAAAAATAATTCCACAATTATGACTTCTTACTATTGGCATAAAGTCATATAGAGGTCAACAGCAAATAAAAATCTAGGTTAAAATTTGTGCCAAGTTCTACATACTATAATTTGTTGGAAGTCACACCACAGAAAAAAAAAAGAAAAAAAACCTTGTGCCATAAACCTCACAAACCTTGGCAAATCCAGTGACAAATCCTTCCTCATAAGTGTTTAATGTATCAGCCTAGAAACTGCCTCCTGGTGTAATTACAAAAACCTGTGCACACTGTCTCCAGGAAACAAAGTTAGCCAATCAGACTGCAGCTTTTGATAAAGCTGATGATTTTTTGCATGCAAAATGCAGTGGATGAGGATGTGCCGTTTTTAGTTATCTATATGCTCTCATCTCACTGATGAGCGCCTGACTGAAGGAAAGATAGAGAAGATAAACAGAGATTTTTCACACCTCTGCGGCTCCCTCAGCTGCTTTCTTCAGACCCCAGCCATCAGCCGCCCATCGCTCGGCCACATTACGATCAGAGGTGATGAAGAAGTTGTCAAAGAAGATATCAGAGGACATGGACCAGAGCTCCAGACCGACGGCGCTGATTGGAGTCATACGGAACGGGTGCAGGTCCTCAAAGAAGTCTGGGTTAGGGATCTTCCTGGGCTTCCACACTCCCTGGCAAATAAACAAACAATTAAGACGTTTACATTTCCAGAAGAAAACACCCTTAAGTTCAGTACTCAGAGTTAGGGCTTTATTTAAATCAATACTCATAAAGCTCTAGGGCTGTCAAAATGGCCGAAAAACGAAATTCGAATTTTGAAAAGAAAAAGATTCAAATATTTTTTTCTATAGGTCTATCATAATGCGTGCGGTAGAGGGTTAAATATTATCAAAATCTGAATTATATTCGAATTTAAAACGCATAATTTCAGTTAGGGGGAAGAAAAGCTTTTGGCTTCTCTCCTGAGGCCACAAGAGGGTGCATCGAGCAAAATATTACTAATGCACGTTTATTCAAAGCATAAGATAACATGACTATCTGTGAAAAAAGTGCATAATGTTTAAAATAATGTTTATAAACCAATTATAATTAAGTTGCTTAAACAACTATAAACAAAACAGTATCATGTATCTATGCATAGTTTAATACAAAGGGCCAAAAGACAATCACACAGAGTACACTTTTCATTTAAAAACATGAGATGCAGTGGGATGGGGAAAAAAACCCCACCATAAAGTCTCGAGATATGTTTTTTTCAAAGTTGAACTTGCATGAATTTTACATGGCTTTCTAAACATGTGGCTCTTTTGTGCGAGATGCGAGTGCAACGGTGATAGATGTCCCTCCAGAAAATGCGTGAGATATGTGTTCTGTATGAACGGCTTGGTTTCAGTTTTGATGTAAACAAGAACTTCTCCGCATTGATGTTCTCTTTTTCTGCAATATTTTTAATGAACAACGCAGCAGTGGCTTCAACTGGATAGGCTAACAAAAACATTACAATGCAACAACACTTACATCGTTATCGCATCTCGTGCACCACTGATAAGGCTGCCTCCTTAACGCACACCTAAAATTCGAATGCAACGTTTTTGTTTTATTTTAAGTTTTATTTTAAATTAGACAAATATTCGAAATTCTATTTTTTTTTTGACAGCCCTATAAAGCTCACGGACTCCGAAACCACCTCTAATAATAGGGATGCACAATTTTGGGGGAAATTGATTTTCTTGATAAAAACTTAGGGCTTTTCTTGATATTTAAAAGTGATAAAATGCGATTTAAAAAATCCAGGTTTGCTGTGCTTGTCTGTAGGGCTGCACAATTTGCAAAATGTTTGTGATTATGTATCAATATGACTATAAAATAATAATATTATATAATATATTAGTATTATTACCTAATACAAATATAAAAATGATAAGATATATTACTATTGTAATATTGAACTATAAGAGAGCATTTAAGAAAAATAAAATAATAAATTTTTCATTATATAATATGTTAATAAACAGAATTAACTGCAACCCAAGCTGCTCTGAGACACTGCAGAGACCAGCGGATAATGAGCTGCTCGCATGTAAAGGCCCATTCACACCAAGAATAATAAATACAACGATAATTACATTAGCCTTTACACCAGAGGATGATAACATTTATTAATCATCATCACCACTTTAATGAGATAAAGTGCATTTTTAAATGATGTGCACTTATAATCTTAGTATAGTATTTTCCAGCAAAAACAGTAATAATAGATATAAATGGCTATTTTCTAACTTAATTTTAGCCCTCTGATTTGAACATTCTGTTGGAAGGGGCGTCTCTGCTGTGAGACTTCAAAGTAAACGCCCACTGTAATGATTGGCCAAAATCTTTGCATATGAAATGTGCACTACATGTGGAACTTTCTCAAACTTATTGCAACATGATTTCTCCATTGATTCTCCATTTCATGACCCCTTTAAATGCTTAAGCTTTTGGTTTTATTAATCAAACAAAATGCAAAAAAACAAAACAAAAAAACAAACAAACAAGATGCTAATTACCTGATAATTAGGGTTGTCAATCATTGGTGACTTCCACTTGCCCTTGTAGTTGGGGTTGTCGATCATTGGTCTCTCCCATGGGCCGCAGCCGGGGGCCGTTTCACAGACGGGATTGGGGATCTGAGGTGCTTCCCACTCGCCATCCATATCCTCATCCCTAAAAGAGACGAGCATAGATGTAGTGCAGTTATGAAAGAAAACCTCACACACGACGTGCTCCTCATATTTCTATTTCAGCTGCTCTCTTGGTTAAGGCTATAATTACAACAATTAAATCTAGATCATCACCCCAGGAGTCCTAATTTCTTCATTAAAATCAGCTCACTTCACCACTGTCCAACACATAATCACTCAGTCTTTTACATGATACAGAGCGATTGTGCGTTCATTACAATGCAGCTCATTTGTATTTATGTCTCTATATATTTATGAACAATCACACAGCCAAAGTTTTGCTATATAGTATATATCAGTTTACGTAAGTATCTGTATGGATCTGTACTTTTAATGTAATGGAGAAAGTCTTACCAGTCTTCTGGCTTGAGGGCATCGGGGTCACTGATGTACTCTGGCTCATCGTCCAACCAGCCGTCGGGTTTCACAGCATCTTCATCAGGAACCTTAGCGGGAGCGTCTTCGTCCCTAAATTACAAATACATCAAATCAGAAGGATATGGACAAAAAGTGATGCCTTTGATCCCCATTGTAACACACACAGATATTCACTGTCCAAATACCCACACTTGCGGTCTTGGCCACTTGAGAGCGCACGACAGGAAGTGAGTGTAATATAATTTGGTAGAAAAACAAAGCGTTGGACTTTTTATTGGTGCAAAGAGGAGTAGTGGTGATATTTATTTTGTACATTTGCTACTGCTTTTTATCACTTAATTAGAAGCACCACAAATTAAATTGCGTCGTGTTATAGGGACAAGTATTTAGAAGTTGATTTTAAAATGCAAAGTATTTAAAATAAAAATAAAGCTATGTAAACACTAAGTGTGTCCCATCAGGTAATGAAAAGTTATACACACACTTGTGGTCCTCATCCACACTTGGGCCAAATACAGGAAATACGTCATATAAGTAGTCAAGTGATCAAGTGTGGGTATTTGGACAAGGCAAAAGATTCTCTCCGCCTCACCAGTCCTCAGGTTTGACAGCATCTGGATCCTGGATCTTGGGTCTCTCATCCCAGTCCTCTGGTTTGTGGTCATCGGGGTCCTCGATCTCGGCCGGGGGGTTGATGGGGGGAGTCATATCATTCAAGAGACTGCCGCTGTTCACCACTGTCTGGTCGATCAGGATCTCAAAACTGTTATCCGGGTTCAGCACTGCAGGAAAACACATTGACACACATGAGAAAATCTGTCCAACTTTCATTTGTGATTTGTCTGTCCAGATTGATGCAAAAAACAGCAGACAGGCTAAACAAACATGTAAATTTACTCTCTGACAGTAGGTGGCGCTTTTGGAAGCAGGACGAGATGCGTGTTGTTACCCAGTGTGTAGAGGTGAGTCTTCTTGTCGGTGTAGTATGAGCGGAGGTCAGCGTCAGTCTTCTTAGCATGCTTCTCCTCAAACTCGCCGGTTTTTGGGTTGGGGATCTGAGGTGCTTCCCACTCGCCATCCATATCCTCATCCCTAAAAGAGACGAGCATAGATGTAGTGCAGTTATGAAAGAAAACCTCACACACGACGTGCTCCTCATATTTCTATTTCAGCTGCTCTCTTGGTTAAGGCTATAATTACAACAATTAAATCTAGATCATCACCCCAGGAGTCCTAATTTCTTCATTAAAATCAGCTCACTTCACCACTGTCCAACACATAATCACTCAGTCTTTTACATGATACAGAGCGATTGTGCGTTCATTACAATGCAGCTCATTTGTATTTATGTCTCTATATATTTATGAACAATCACACAGCCAAAGTTTTGCTATATAGTATATATCAGTTTACGTAAGTATCTGTATGGATCTGTACTTTTAATGTAATGGAGAAAGTCTTACCAGTCTTCTGGCTTGAGGGCATCGGGGTCACTGATGTACTCTGGCTCATCGTCCAACCAGCCGTCGGGTTTCACAGCATCTTCATCAGGAACCTTAGCGGGAGCGTCTTCGTCCCTAAATTACAAATACATCAAATCAGAAGGATATGGACAAAAAGTGATGCCTTTGATCCCCATTGTAACACACACAGATATTCACTGTCCAAATACCCACACTTGCGGTCTTGGCCACTTGAGAGCGCACGACAGGAAGTGAGTGTAATATAATTTGGTAGAAAAACAAAGCGTTGGACTTTTTATTGGTGCAAAGAGGAGTAGTGGTGATATTTATTTTGTACATTTGCTACTGCTTTTTATCACTTAATTAGAAGCACCACAAATTAAATTGCGTCGTGTTATAGGGACAAGTATTTAGAAGTTGATTTTAAAATGCAAAGTATTTAAAATAAAAATAAAGCTATGTAAACACTAAGTGTGTCCCATCAGGTAATGAAAAGTTATACACACACTTGTGGTCCTCATCCACACTTGGGCCAAATACAGGAAATACGTCATATAAGTAGTCAAGTGATCAAGTGTGGGTATTTGGACAAGGCAAAAGATTCTCTCCGCCTCACCAGTCCTCAGGTTTGACAGCATCTGGATCCTGGATCTTGGGTCTCTCATCCCAGTCCTCTGGTTTGTGGTCATCGGGGTCCTCGATCTCGGCCGGGGGGTTGATGGGGGGAGTCATATCATTCAAGAGACTGCCGCTGTTCACCACTGTCTGGTCGATCAGGATCTCAAAACTGTTATCCGGGTTCAGCACTGCAGGAAAACACATTGACACACATGAGAAAATCTGTCCAACTTTCATTTGTGATTTGTCTGTCCAGATTGATGCAAAAAACAGCAGACAGGCTAAACAAACATGTAAATTTACTCTCTGACAGTAGGTGGCGCTTTTGGAAGCAGGACGAGATGCGTGTTGTTACCCAGTGTGTAGAGGTGAGTCTTCTTGTCGGTGTAGTATGAGCGGAGGTCAGCGTCAGTCTTCTTAGCATGCTTCTCCTCAAACTCGCCGGTTTTTGGGTTCTTGTGTCTAAAGATGAAGTGCAGTTTGTAATCCTCACCACACTTATCAGGCCCATACATGATGGTGTACGGCGTCTTATCCACAAACTCCTCCTGTGAGGACAGACAGGGCAGAGGGAGGTGAGGACACATTCAATTCTTACACATTAAGTTTTGTGTCCAGCTCATATGCTATCAATAAACTATATAAATAAATACACAGCCATACAGGCATTGTATTGGTCACCCTGATTCTAGATATATCAGAACAGGTCAGCACTAATTAAATACAGGTGTAAAACGGTCCAAAATGTTTTGTGATTGGATCACTGAACCCATACATGGTGGTAGTCAGAAATGCATGTGACCACATCACATGTAAGGGTGTGCAATAATTATTTTTGCAAAAACAATTCAAAACACCCCTACAGAGAGCACACATTCATTACGTGAAGTCTAGACAAGTGCGCATTTAGAGTGTGTTCTTTCACTGCATGATTCAGTCTAATAAAATGCATTTAGAATAATCACAAAATTCAAGATATGAGGACAGAAAATTTCATATAGTTAATCAATATCACACAAACAGTGCTGTTTTTTTCCCTCCAAAAATTACCATGATTACAAATGTAATATTGATTTTTTACAAGAGTTCAAAAAACAAGTTAATTAATTAAGAGACTTACGTTTTAGACACCATACTGCCATATTGTTTTTGCTCTATTTCGACAATAAAAATAATTGCAAACACAGCCACAGCACGTTTTTCGTCTCTGAGGAACATGACGGTGTTTCGTTCCTGAATAAATCAGCCGTTTAAATGATTCGGTTCAATCGCAATGACTCACTTTTTAACAGTGACTTGCTGCCACCTACTGGCGGTTTTAATTTCACATTTAAAAAGTTTATTTTTATTATTTAGATAATTTCATATAACAGTATTCAACTTTTATGATAAATATATCAAAACATTATGCATTTGTAATTGCAGGTTAAAATGCATTCATGTTCTGCACTAAAAAGTAGTGGGCAAATACATCTAAATGTGTTTCCTCTGCATTGCAAAGATGAATTTTATTGATACCGATTTCATTTGCTTGGTAACAGCCCAGATGTTTTATTCTAATTCACTGATTAAATGTAAGATTTTTTTTTTTTAATTGGAGATAAATGTAGGAATTTGACAAAAGATAATGCACACTTTTAGAAAAATGGCTTTATAAAGGTAAAAATGCCCATAAAAGGTAAAAATCTATTTAAACTTATTAGAAAAGATTCATTTCTATCAGTGTGAACTGACCACCACACAGAATATGAAGAATATCAAAAACTTTAGGAGTCAGCTGTCCACGGTAGTCCTTAAGATACCAGCACAATAACACACTCAGCAAAAAATATCGTCTAATTATCGTTATCGATAAAATACCAGAAAATATTGAGTTATTATTTTTTGTCAATATCGCACACCCCTAATCACATGTCTAATGGATCCGTCCTAAATGTGCCCTGGACTGCAGAGTAACACTCATTTACTGTGATCATTCTGGGATGTGTAGTACAAATGCACACCAAAACTTCCCAGCATTGTACCACATCACATAGATTACATTTATAACTGGTAACACTTTACAATAAGAAACATGGCCAGAAGTCACATCTTCACATTTTAGCAAACTGACAGTCTAGGATAGTTTCCAAATTTAAAATTTTTCAGGGCAGGTATAGCAGAAACTTATCCTATCAACTGCACAATGAATATATAGACCATCTTACCAAGTCAAGATCAGGGGTTTGAGACAGCAGTTTAACATAAGCACCGCCACAGTCAATGCCAGTCTGGAAGTTCACCTCATACCTGAGGAAACATGGCACAGCATTAGTATTATTTTTATATTTCAAGGCATTTGACATTTGACATTGGTGCATTTGGATTATTTGAGTGCATGGTTTCATTATTGTCTTGAGTTGAGCTCTACATTAAACATGTTATTTTCAGGCAATGTCAATGTACTATAATACTTGAAAACACAAAGCAAATACGTCAAAGTAAGTACTTTGACATGAGATCGCTGGCAAATTCCAACTCACATTTCATAAAATTTTAACTACAATATTGTCTTTATACTCATTTCATCTGGACAGGCCAGGGTAAAATGCATACCAAGAGCAGACATGTATACTCACTGGACAATGAGAGGTTTGGTGTCAAAGGTGAAAGGTCGCAGTAGGAGAGCAGAGATGGCGTGATGCTTAGCTTTAGATTTCAACACCAGCCCTTTATCACCCGGGAGTTTAGTGTCCTTCATCTCCTCAACCTCCCATTTACCTACACACAAAACAACACACCACTACCTCAAGATCACCTCACACACGCTCAGTTCATGTGTTGTCTGCAAACTACTTTTATATTAAATGTCCTCAACTTTCGAGTTTTTGGGGTAATTCAAACAAAGTTCAAACTATTTAAATAAAAACATTTAAAAAGTCAGAAACAACACATACCATAGTCTGGAACATTGTTCTGTGATTTTAGGTCTTCTTAATTGTTTTTATGCTAAACAAATCATTCAGGTATCCACACCTTTTCTGACTACTCAAATGAATAATTAGACATAACAGACTTCAGACGAGCAGAAAATGAAATAGCATATGAAACTTACCATCATACTTTGCAATTTCCTCATCGATGCCATCTTTCTTGGCCTGGGATAAAACCCATCTAGACAGGAAACAAAAAAAAAACATTCAACAACATAGAAAAATACTTGACAAAGAAAGGCCCTTTTTGCTCATATTTATGACAAATATCTTCAAATGATACACACTACTGTTCAAAAGTTTGATTTCTGAATGATCATGTGACACTGAAGACTTAAGTAATGATGCTGAAAATTCAGCTTTGATCACAGGAATAAATGACATTTTAAAATATATTCAAACAAAAAATGTTTTTATTGTAATAAAATTTCACAATGCCACTGTTTTTACTGTATTTTTTTTAAGAGTATAAGAGACTCAAAAACACCTTTAAAAATTGAACAGACATCATTGTATTTGCGACAGACATTTTCAATATATGCTCTCTCTGTTTTGAGGATAACAGACATCTTACCCATGAAGTGTTTCTTTATCAAATGACTCGGCAAAGTAGTGCTCTCCCATCGGCTCTGGAGCTTTATATGTCACCTTCAATAAAGACGTTTGGGGAAGATGTTAACCTAGTTGCACCTGCATAATACTGTTTTATATTTAACAACATTTAGGCTTATGTTACAGGGAAGAAATAGAGTCATATGGGTTTGGAATGATATGAGAGAGAGTAAATCTGGACGGAATTTAATTTTTATGTGAACTGGCCCTTTAAGTGACATGATTAATCATTGGCAGATCAAATACCTCAAACAAACACAGACCACCACTGCTCTGGCTAAATCTCAATGATAACTTCCCAACAATCATCAAAGTCTCATTGTTCTCGAGAAATATAAGTCAAGGGTCACTGATGTGGAGGCTATTTTGAGCTGAATGTATGGCACTGAGGTGTTAATGAGCTGTTTTAGGTCACCACCAACCTCTGCCCCTGATCAACACACAAGTCACAATTCATCAGAATGAACAGAGAGCTACACGTTTAAGCAGGAAGATCCTGGAGTGCTGTCTAGGTAAACCACATTTCTCAGTCAGCCGCAGTCTGAGCAGGTAACGCTCTTACCGTGGGCACTGGCGGGGAAGTGGGGGCTTGCTGTTCCTCTTCCTCAACATCTTCCTCTTGCATGTCATCGATGGCATCTTCCACATCCATCTCCATGTCATCGGCCTCCTCCTGTGCCCTCACATGACCCATGAGGCCCAGACACAGACTCAGAGAGAGCAGCGCCACACATAACCGCATCTTCAGCTCCATAGTCTACAGACACAAGCAGGGATGAATTAGACATGGGTCAGGACTCAGGACAGTCCGCAAGTTGTCTAGCAACTCTGATTAGTTGGTTTATGATGTTGGCTGTGAGTTTTCTTAAAGGGATAGTTCACGCAAAAATGAAAACTCTGTCATCATTTACTCACACTCAACAGTTGAAGGTCCCGCTGACTTTCATAGTATGGGCATACACTGTGGAAGTCAATGGGACCAACATCTGTTTGGTTATCCACATTCTTCAAAGTATCCTTTGTGTTCAACAGAAGAAAGAAACTCACACGGATTTGGAACGACGGGAGGGTGAGTAAATGTTGACAGAATTTTCATTTTTGGGTAAATTATGCCTTTAAAACATGAAGGTTTCTTTAAGATCGATAGTTTTTGAGACAATATATCAACTAGTAGAAGTCTGAAAATGTGTAGTTTTACACATCCTCAAACAAACACAGTTTTCTGGAAAACCATCCAATATTTTCATCAAGACCTACTTAAACAGAAAACGTTCTCTCAGCTCTTCCAGTGTAACATCTAAGTATGATCATGCTGGTGTAACATCTACACTAGACAGTGTCACTACTATTACAGATTGAACAAATGAAACAGTTCATCGCATGTTTATCTGTGTGTGTTAGGGGTCAATGACTGGATGTTGTCCTTAAAGGCTGATTTATACTTCTGCGTCGGACCTACGCCGGCTATGCGTCAGTTTTCATTTATACTTCTACGTCGTTGTCCGCGTCGACGTGCAGTACACATGCAAACCGCTAGTCTGCAGTGTCCACGGGCATGTTTGCTGGTGTAACCCGCAATACCACGGCAAAAGCCGAAGAAGAAGCGGCTCATCGGAGAAGCATTATAGCCGTGAAGGCAGCAAATAAATATCAAACCATTAAATCATTATTTAAAACTACAAAAAGGAGACAACAACGGAACAGGAGATGATGGCATTCTTTCAATCTGCACAAGGACTTGTACCACGGCAGATCAACATTGTATGTTGCGGACAACTACTGATGTATAATGCTATGTAGTATAATAAATGATAAGACACTTGTTCTTTGCTTTGTTTTATTTTATATAAGAAGGTGTAACATTAAAATATATTTAAGTGCACATAAACACACAAAACTCAAGTACATACGGAGGGAGGGGTTCTAGCAGACCAATCACAGCGCTTGCGGTCCGCATAGAATTGACACGCGGTTAGATTTTTGGAGAACTGCATGTCAGGCTACGGCGTGCGTCTATGCGTAGGCTACGGCGTAGTTTCGACGCAGAAGTATAAATTGGGCTTAAGGCTCAGACAAACCAAACCGACATCAAAGAACTAGCAGCAATGAAAGGTAGGGCTGGGTTCTGACACAAATTTCACGATTCGATTCTCATTCACAAACTTGCAATTCGATTCGATTACCAATTCTATTCAATATCGATTATTTTGAATATATATCAGGTACAGAACATGCCACATTTTCTCAAGTAAAAAAAAAAATCTCTCAACTAATGCTGTAAAATATACATGAGAGTAAGTTGGTACTACATTACTATAATATTGAAGGTTAAAATTGACTGATTTGTTAAAATTACACAATGAATTTTTAAAATAAAGTTACAATTACATAATATTTCTACTTCAATTCATTTTTTTGAAATATAAACAATGGTGGCTGTCATAAAAACTTGATGGATTTATTCAAACATAAATTAAACATTGAAGAACAGTAAAATTTGTTATATGGTGCATATATTTAGCAAAATGCCCCTCTCTACAGTTTATTTTTTTATATGACTAATGAGTTTATGGTCACCAAAAACGTTTTTTACATTTACATTTAGTCATTTAGCAGACGCTTTTATCCAAAGCGACTTACAAATGAGGACAATAGAAGCAGTCAAAACTAACAAAAGAGCAACAATATATAAAAGAATTGATATCGTTCCGTAAAAATTAGAATCGATTAATATCGAAATATCGATATTTTTTACCCAGCCCTAATGAAAGGAAATGCACCATCGTCTCACATTGACTGTGTCTGGGCCACAAAGTTGAGCTTGAACAATACAAAGACCAACTGTGCCTGTATGAGAAGAAAACAACTCTCCATACCAGCAGGTGTCTAAGCTGATTTGCTGAGCTAAGCAGCAAATCAGAGTGATCAGTCCGACGGGCTTCGCCAACAATTCAACATAGTCAATTGCGTGAATAGAAACTTAATTAAAATATTAAAAAGTCGGTTACACTTTATTTTAGAGTATGTGTACTTACAGTGTTACCCATGAAAATACTGGTAATATAAAGTTTAGGGGTAGGTTCAGGGTTAGTACTTAGTTATTGTAATTGCTATAAAAAGTACACTGCTGTTCAAATGTTTGGGATAATGTTCAATAATGTGTAAAAAAAAAAAAAAAAAAAAAAAAAAAAAAAAAAAGTTTCATGCTCATGAAGGCTGCTTTTGTTTGATCAAAAATACAGAACAAAGCAGTAATATTGTAAAATATTACAATTTAAATAATTGTCCTCCATCTAAATATACTGTGATGCACTACTCCAGTCTTCAGTGTCACATGACCCTTCAGAAATCATTCTAATATGCTCAGGGCTCGCAAAATCGCTAGCCGACGTCCTGGGGCTATTGTGTTTTCCAGTCGAGCTACCAAAATGTATCACCACTCTGCCCAACGGACTATCTTAAATGCAGATCTCCCGCAGGTCCTTAACAACTAATAAAGTGAGTTGTATCAAACTTAAGGCCATAACAAGTTTTAAATATGTTAAATGGTATAAGAAATGTCTTAATTATAATTTCAAGAGGTCTCACAGTTGGGGATGGAAAGACAAGAGTTGCGATATGGCTGGATTAAACTTCAAAAGGCAATGATGTCATTGAATAAATATGAGCCCTGCATGTGTCAAGTCAAAAGGAGCTGCTTTGTGTACATCCGTTACCGGGGAAACCGCAATATTTCAGCGCTCCTAAAGCGCCACCTAGGGGCAAAGAATGAATTTGCATTTCCAATAAGCCTTTCATGCTGTTTATGGTCAGATCAATGCAAATATCAAAAGTTTTTACGCAGCAAACACAGAGTTGTAAATGAAAAAGAAGTTAATTTGCCTTCTAAAAATCTAAACAATTAAGACAGTAATAGTTATACGTTTTAAATTGACAATTTATATGCTTGCTTTATCCCTTTTCATAAAAATGGTCTAAAGGCTGAAATGCTGTTGTATAAGATTTTAGTTTTTGTGAAAACCTGTATATCATGTAATTTTATGGCTCAATACTGTATGTTACCACAGACATTGTCCAACCCCACTCATACTGTGTTCATTTTACTTGTGCAGCTCTTAAAATGGGTCATAAATCGCCTTAAATTTATTTTTAAAAATTCTTCAGATACCCTGTAAATAGTGAAATAAAATTCCTTCCTTCATATTTGTTGATATTTGTGTATTGAAAATATTTT